TCCATTGCGTGCACTTACTTTTCCTGTATACCAAAGTTTGAAACCTTGAATATCCTTAGCTTCTTCTCCATGCCATTTTGTTTCTTGTAAGCAAAGGATATTGATTTTCCTTTGAATCATAACTCCTACAACCTCTACAGATTTACAATTTAATGTCCCAACATTCCAAGTACCAAATCTAATTTTGCTCTTATGGACTAACTTCTTTAGCCGCGTGCGTCCAGAATGACGCGGTAGCCCTTGCTCATTTAACACTACATCCGGGCGCCGATGCAGCGGCTCTAACTCACTTATCACTGTACTCGAGCCATGCAGCGCGTTACTTACAGGCAACGACCTAGCATTAATATTATAACGTCTATTGTCCATGTTCATGATAGATTCAACAAATTTTTACATTGGCTGTTGATGGCCTAACACAACCCTCCTCCTTTACCCGAGCTTGGGACCGGCTATAAACATAGGCGGAGTTAGGGATGACTATCAATACTAATATAAAATGTTAAATACATAAGAGGTTGCCCTACTCACAAACCACGAGTATTGCAACTCTTTTGGGGTTCCCTGCAACATTTTTTTGCCTTCTATTTGTTCAATATTTCTCTACATATTTTAAAGGGTTCAAGTCTTAAAAAGATGAGTACAGTTTTCAAGAAAATTTATGTTGTTATGTCACGTTCATTGCACAGGGGGAAATGTATAGTTTCTTTTCGTTTTATTGTAAATTATAAAGCAGGTTGTGGAATAATGTGCAACGGTTTGTTTGAATTGATGCAGACGTGCAGTATTGCTCAATATTGTGCCATCATGTTCATGAAAATTGTTTGTGCTTATCATGAGACTTCGTAACTTCTTTCCCATCATAATTTAGCAGTATGATTCAATGAATTGAAGCTAGCAGAAATTCTTATTAAAAGTGAAAAAATAAACTGAAGTAATATAGCAAATAGGTGCAGATGCAATATGTTTACCATTTGTAGGCGAGTAAGTAATGTCAAGTTACAATGAAAAAATTGAAGTTGTATTCTTTAATGGAGGTTCATGGTACCTCCATGTCCTTCGGCAACTATGTTTTGTGCATTTTTGAGGGATGAATCTGCAACAACTGAGGAGGTAGAGTAAAATCTTTTAAAATTCGGCCAAACCTCTCATGGTAAGATTAGTTGTTAACCCTCTTGACTCTTCCCATAGGGCTATTAAAAGTAATCTTGTCCTCATTTATGTGTTGTTTTTGTCTTCTCAGCAATTTTTTTTGTCTTTTCTTTTTCTTTTTTTGAGTATTTATTTAGACACCAATTTCTGATTTTACCTAGCAACCATTGGGAATGAAGGGATGCATAGTTTCACTGCTCAACTATATTGTCACAGTTGTGACCTTCACATTGCTGTTATTACCTGTATTTGATTAATGCATCATCTCTTATTATAATTTGAAAGCCTGAAGATCAACTTTGCCACCCTTCAACAGGTGTGTCGTGTGCAGAATTACGTGGATACATTAGATTCTTTAAAGTCAAGAAATGGCAATCCCTTTCATGGTTTCAGCAACAGCGTGTCAGTAACAACCAAATGGGAGACCTTCGACTCTGAGCAGGGAAATGGGAACACCCCACCCTCAACGTCATCGTCTTCAACTTCAACCAGGGTAACTCAAGATTGGGAGCAGTTCGATTGATAGTTGCTCTGGTCGTATTGGAAATTGTATGACACGCTCAACTATAAAGCCTGATCAACGCCATATTATTGGGCCTTGCTTATAAATTCAAGGTTCGAATTTGTAGCTTGATTTAGATAAAATATTTACAAGATAAACCTACTCCTTAGAAGTTAGATTCATTGTTGCATTTTGATTTTATATTCATTTCACTATTTTCATGGTTGTAACATGTGTCATTGTTATTATTTAGTTTCGATTCACGGCCGTATTTTAAATTATCATATTTTTTCACCGAGATGCCAATAATCGGTTTACCCTGTAGGATATATTTGCTGTAATACTCTGTAACTTCGGCCCATCATATTAATCAAGAACATGATGGATTTATAATTTTATATTGGCTTGTGGTGCAATTTTTTTCTGAAAAAATCAAATCAATATCTATAAAACATAATGTTATGCCAAACAGCACTGTTTGTAATATATGAATAATGTGACAGTTTTTAATGTTTGGCATAACCGACAAAGTTATGGATTTAAATCTTATTTTTGATGTAAGGATTTTGTTAGTGAATAATTTGTAAATTTTTTATAAGTATTTTTTGAGTTTAGAGTATGTTTTTACCTTGATGAGTAAAAAAAAATGATAAAAAAAATTAGAAAAAAAAACTATGATTTAAAAAATATGAACTATCTTCTCCCTTCATATCTATACATATCTATATGTGAGAGGTTTTTTTTAAAAAAAGTTATTTTTAACTATGAAAAGTTGTTAGCATATTTTTTTTAATAAATGAATTATAACCTTACTTCATTAGAATAGAAAAAAAAAGTATTCATTTACTTTAAAAAAAGATATTCATCTTTTTATTTATAATAATTAAAAGTAAAATTAAAATATTATTATATATCTAAGTAAATAATTAATTTTTATTAATTTATATAATTTAATTAAAAATATTTTATATGCAAAGATAAAAGGATGCCATGGTGGAATGTCTTGGGCGCGGTTTGAACTTCGAAGGGATGCCATGATCCGAGAAATGACGTTAAAGACTGGCGTCGCACGTGGTCTCAAGCGGCTGCGGTAACTGAAGACTTTTAAAAAGTCCGAGGGAGAGTTCCAAGTTCCGAAGAAGGTGATGATAGATGCTCTTGGCGGATATCATTTTTCTTCATGAAATTATTTGCATCATTTCAAAAGACGAAGAACGTGTCGGGGCCCCACAAGCCCATTTGAGGATTTGGGAGAGTGACATTTTGGGGGACATCGGTCCTTTGGTTGGACCCGTAAATTAGAACACATCCCCTGGAACATTCCGTTCGGATATATACGCTGGGATTTATGGTGCCTTAGAAGCTTTCAGATTTTTGGCCACAGATGAAGCATCTGTCTGTTCTCTTAGCCTTTGAGGTTCTCTAAATGGAGCTCCAATATATTAATGTTTTTACGGATTGTACAGAGGTCCTGAATCTTCTTACACAGTCTGCTTTACCCCCGTCTAGAGATATAATTGACTATGCTAAATTTCGTTGGTTTAAGAATTGCTATATTTCCTTGTCTTTTATGTTTAGAGAGGCTAATGGCTGTGGTCATATGTTAGCTATCAATAATTCTAACTAGGTAAAGTTTTTCATTTTCTTTTTTTAATCAACCTCCACTGTATTGTTGGAAGGTGATGGATAATGATTAAGAGGTGATTCTTCACTGTATGCGTTCTGAACCGTAATTGATTAATTGTATCAATTTGAATTTAAAGTTAAAAATGCACTCAAATTGAGTCTTCCAAGTCGTAGACACTACTATTCTGACATAAAAAAAACTAATAATTTTAAGAGAAATGACATCCAAATATTTATACAAAATAATACTCTTTTTAAAAAATTAAAGGAAACTATTTTAGATGTAAGAAAGGACAAAATAGTTCAAATATTTTGTAAGTGAGGGCGAAATTGACAATGCCTTGTTTCTTTCATGATAGGAAGCACATTTTCGTGTACCAAGTAAAGAAGACATACTTTCAGGCAAGAAGTATCGATTATTTGATAATTTTAATAGTACCTCTAGCTTTAAATGTATGAGCCACTCTTTTCGATCCCTAATATAAAATAAAATTAACCAACTTCATACTTATTTAAAAAATATATTATTTTTTAATTTTATCCTTCTATGTAATTAATAGTCATAATAAGTTGTTATCAAGAAATTTAAAATATGATAAATAAACAAAGATAAAATTGGAAAATCAAATTAATTATTTTAACTTTGCTTTATATTAAAGACAACTTTTAAAATTTATCTTGTATTAAATATCAGAGGAGGGAGTGAGTATATAATTAATTCACACTGTCTCATATCCTATTTGGAGCTGCCAATCTGATAATTTTCAATTAGTAATTGAAAGTATGGGGCCTAAGCGAGTAAAGCAAGTTGATGAGCGTGTCATGAACGACGATCCCAGAAATGGCAAGACGGGGACGTGGCATGTGGTCCGAAGAGACTGCGATAACTGAAGACTTTTCAAAAATGAAAGGGAGACCGCCAATGAAGGTGGTCTTACGTGTAACGTTTCGAGTTTTCATGGACAAAGGACAAGTATGGCCCCACAAAACCATTTAATGCGCTTGGATTTGAGAGAATCACATTTTCGTCACATTGCTGCTTTGTAGATTCAACATACGGACTGATGAGATTGGATTTAGCAAAAAGAGTTTATAGTGTAGCCAACCAATATTTTAATTTATGTTAAGAGAGGTGTCCATGTGAACATTCTTCTTTTGGATTTTCTACGTTTCACGTGAACATTGAAATCATGCCGGCTAAACAAAAGAGAGATTCAAAGTACAGAGCGTGACAGCATTATTAAGCTTTTTTTTTTTAATGTAAAATGGACTCGTTTTTTAGGGAAATGAAAAGGGCGAGAATTTGTAAGTTGTGAAAATTTAACAGAAATAACATTATTTAAATATTTATATAAAATAATGATGATCTTAAAAATTCCAAAGGATAAGATAATCCAAATATTTTTATAAGTGAGGGCAAAATAGCACTGTCTTATTTCTTTTATGATAGGACGCACAAATAAGACATACTTTCCTTAAAAACATAGCCTAAAAGGGCAGTGTCAATATTCTTTGATAATTTTAGACATATACGATAAGGAATTCTTCGTTGGTCTGTTTTTCCTTGAGACTTCTTTCTTCCACGGTAATTATTGAACATAGCCTAAAAGTAATAATTTCTTTAATTTCCAGGCGTTGATGGATCTCGCAGTTTTAGCTGCTTCAAGAACGACTACTCCAAAACAATAATATATAGTTTAATTAATTTGAAATATCTCTATAAAAATAAAAAAGAATAATTTCTTTCTTTTGATTTCTTCATCAAGATCACGTCATATTCATGTATGAACAATCACCTAAATTTTGACTTCAGAAAACGCAGAAAGATTTACAACAAAAATAAAACAGCATACGTCGGAAATTTCATGTATGTGTGGGAAATGTCACGTATTTTAAATCTCACACATACATAAATTCATCGAAGACCAAAAATCCAAGAAATATACATTTCTAAATGGTAAAATATGATGGTCTCTATAAATTAATGGTAACGCCTCTTGCACCACTCACGTACGGTGACACCGCAGATCCATGAATGTCTGAGGAGCCATGCTTGTTAGGTTCATATCTCTCTCCGTCACCCCAAAGTGCATAGGCCTCCTCGCCGTGCACGGCATCATCGCCGATCTCAAGCTGCTCGTCCGGCATCCTCAGCGGTATAAAGAGACGAATGGCCAGAAGAATGAGGGTGGTGGACACCAGGTTCCATCCCGCCACAAATAGGGCTGCCACAATCTGCTTCACGAACTGAATGCCGCCACTGCCGCCATAGAAGGCGCCCCTCGAGTTGGTCACCGGCAATATCAGCCGGCAAAGCTCCGGCTCCGCCAAGAGACCAGTCAGGAGGCCACCCAAAAGCCCCGCCACTGCGTGCGTGTGAAATACTCCCAGGGTGTCATCTACCTACATCCATGATGTGTATATGCATTTTTATTTATTGTTCATTTGAAATTATAAGAAAAAGTATTTTATTGTTGGTATGTATATGTATACATTAATATGAATATCAATAAATAAATCAAGCTCTATGCTAAAATAATATCAACAATTCGACATGTAGTTGCATTGACGTGATATGAAGCACTTATGATAATGCAATATTGTGAGTGATGTTATATGATGGGATTAATATTGTCTCATGAAATTAAAAAAAAAAAGGAAAGAAATTAGTTGAAGGGAACGCCGCGGATAAACCGTGGCTTTCTAATTAAGCGTGGCAAAAAAAGCAAAAGGCACTAAAAGAATACTATATTTCTATCAAGATTCAAGATACAAGGAAAAAAAAAAAAAACCAATATATATATATATCCTTAGACATGAAAAAAATGATAATAAAATTTTTTTAAATTCTATAAATGATAAATTAACTTTTTAAAGTGTCATAATTTTACTAAAATTTTTAGGAGCTTTTTTATCATTAATAAATTTATATAAATAATTAAATTATTCTTGTTAAAAATAAAAATCCTTATATTGCGATTAAAAATAACAAGTAATAATCACAAATTTTATTTAAATAATTATAATTTTTTTATATTTATAATAATGCAAGAACAAATTACAGTTTCGTATGTTCAAATTTCAATATTGCTACCAAGATAATTTGATCATTTAAATGAATTTATTAATGACAAAAAAATTTTAAAAATTTGAGTGAAATTATAATATTTTAAGAGATAGCATTATCATTGATATAATTCAGAAGGATATCATTATCATTTTTCCTTAAAAAAAAGTAAGTTAAAACATAAAAAACTGTTATTTAGTCTTTAAAAACTCGTCTAACACTTTGATTTTTGACAAGATAATATATATGCTCTCAATAATTATTATATGTTAAAAATGATTATTCTAATTGAGTTACTAATCAAAACGAAATAAAAAAATGACTATTTCATTTTAGCAAATTTATTTATGGATCAAATGTAACTAAAATAGTTCAATGAAAGAATTAGTCATTTTCTAATTCTTCGTTTTAGCCAATATTAATATGAATATTAAAAAAAAGAGGAAGAGGACCTGTTGAAGGAGAGAAGATTTTTTGTGAAGGATCATCATGGTGAACCATGGAACGCTGCCGGACAGAATTCCCATTACTATAGCCGCCCACGACTGCACCAACCCTGTATTATATTTTCCTTTTTCATTATTTTTTAACATCCACTCAAAAATATCAATGGAATATCTTCGTAAAGTAAAGTAAAGTTCTGGAAAATCATAGTCAACCTGCACCTTCCTTATTTGCCCCCACTACCCTCAACCTTTCTCCATTAACTGTTTTTAAATGAATCACTCTTCCGTGGACCACCATAACGTGGCCGGCGATATTTTTTAATCAGCAACTCTCTCATTTTCAAATTTCATCATTACATTTACACATCCTTCAAAGTAATATTTTTTTATCACATTTAATAAAACTAGTATCAATAAACTTCCAATCAAGATGTACTGTAGCGTACCTGCTCCGGGGGTGATGCAAACCAGTCCGGTCATCATGCCCTGAACGGCTCCGATCACCGAAGGCTTCCCGAAGAACACCACGTCCAGCGTCGTCCATACCAGAAGGCTCGTTGCTGCGCATATGTTAGTGTTCAGCACCGCCATCGACGAGTCAACGCTTGCCGCGTACGGCGCTCCGCCGTTGAACCCCGACCAACCCATCCATAGAAGCCCTGCTCCTGCAAGCATCAGCAGCACATTGTTCGGTGGAAACCTCTCTCTGTCGCTCTTCAGCCTCGGTCCTACCTGAAGTTAGTTTATTCGCATCGCAATCGTGATTTCCTGGGGGGATTGATATATACTAAAATCTTTCTGACACGGGAAGGGACTGGAATTTTGTTTACCCAGTATGCGGCGGTGAAGCCGGCGATTCCGGAGGAGAGGTGGATAACATAACCGCCGGAGTAATCCATGACGCCCCACTGGTAGAGGAATCCGCCGCCCCACAAGCTGAATGCCCCTACGGTGTATGAGAAAATGAGCCAGAGAGGGACGAAAGCCATCCAGGCCTTAATGTTCATGCGGCCAAGAACCGAACCGGCGAGCAAGATAAGCGTGATAGCAGCAAAAGTGAACTGGAAATAGACAAGAGTAGCCATGGGAAAAAATGGCCGCACGGTTTGTGTTTCTACAGTGCCATTGCTGTAGAGGTGGGTGCTTTCAGGGACATTGGCTCGAGCTATGAGGAACTTCTGACCCAGAGCTGGGGCTCCCTTGCCCCAGAAGGGAAGGAGCTCGTCTCCAAAGGCCATTCTGAAACCAACAAGCACCCAACAGATAAGGACAGCAGCGAAGGCATAGAGAGCCATGAAAGCAGAGTTGACGGCCCATTTCTTCTTGACGATGCTCGCATACAGAATCACAAGCCCTGGCATGCTTTGGATGCCCACCAGTGTAGCTGCTGTCATCTGCCATCCGTTGTCTCCTTTGTTTAGCCATTCAGGAGAAGCAGGAAGATGCTCTTGGTAAGCCACGGGAATAGTAGCCATGGCTGCCCCCAAAACTCTGGGATACCTCAAGCAAATTTCTTGAGGTATGAATGGCCTCTAATCTCTCTGATCCCTTGCTATTTATATATACGCACAAAGTTTAAAGAAAGCTTGGTTATAAGCCTGGTATTGGGTAGACTGCTAAAAACTTGTGAGCTGCGGAATCTGCAAATTCAGGATGTGAAATGAGGTGAGCTCTGAATTGTCTCTGTTATCTTTGGTGCTTTGATGGTGGGTTGGTAGAGAATAAATTAATGTCTATATGTTGAGAGAGTTTGGATACCTGGTTTGAATCTGAGGAAACTTCGTGTGAACTGTCATTGAATTTTCGTCTAGTGATTTAAAAAAGGCATTGAGTTTACAGTGAAGATTTTGACTTTTAGTTGAAAGGAAAAGAGGTGAGACGGTAGAGAATGCCTCACGGGCAGCTCGTTCACAGTGTGAAAGCGCAGAGCAAGTTGTTGCGATAGCCGGGTCTGACGTGAGGTAGCCTATGGAATTATATAAAATTATAAATATCTTGTTTGTTGATCTGCATGGATTTTTTCCGTACAGAAATGGATGGCAATTAAAGTTTAGTAATTATTTAACCTCATGCCCCTGAAGCTGATGGGAAAATAAAATGACGTAAATTCACTGTATAAATAAATAATTAATACTCTGAATGACGTATGAATAATTATGACGGTCAATATAAAGTTTTTGACCTAGAGATTAAGAAAAATTAAAAAATATTGATGTCACATATCTGATATCTACCTCCAAAGCACTGCCGTGCAGGAACGCGCCGCGTGGAGGACGTGCGTCCAAATGAGAAGCATTATTTGACAGTTCAATTCTCTCTGATCATTTAATTAGAGTTTATGCTTCGGATTACATTGAGATGGCAATTTGACTTTGGATTGTACGGTCTGGAGACTGGAGAAGGGAACGTGCAGTCATGTGTACTTCCACGCTCAATCACATGGGAGCCCATTCATCAGCTAACTGTTCAATTAATGTTGGAATTTTGAATCAACATGGCAGTACCGGCCAATTATATTGGGATGTTCAGATTCAATGTTTTATAAAAGCCGTCATTAAAACAAGTTAATCACAACCAATGAGGATGGATATGGAGGATCTAAACTTTCAACTATTTTAAAGAGATAGATAGATAGATAGGTGAAATGATATATAAAAGTAAATAACTCCTCCAGGTGGCTCCATAAAATATTAACATGGACACTGTCCAAGAAATTAGAAAGGTGATACTCTCTCTGTTCATAAATATAAAATATTTTTATTTAAAAATATAAAATATTTTTGATATTATAAAGTATAATTATTATATTTTTTAAGATATTTTTATTAAATAAGAGTAAATATAAAAATATAAGATTAATTTAAAAATAAGTAATGACTTTATTAAAAGATGAGATTTTATTAAAAATATTTTATATTTTTTAATAAAAATAGTACTCCCTCCATTCCTCTATATACAGTATTTTTAACTGAATCTCGCATATCAATAAACATTTGTTATTGAGTTAAACTTACATAAAAATACAATAATTTTTTAATTTTATCACTAATAATGGTAGGGATAATATATAATTAATAATTTATCCAATTTTTTAAGAGAAAAGTAAGTGTTTAATTATTTAAAAATATTAATGTCATTTTTTATATTTAAAAATAAAATAAATTTTTAAAAAATATTTTATATAAAAAAATGGATGGAGTACGTATGTCAGAAACAAAACAGCCACCATACAATATAGGCCTATAAATAGGCTTACGATAGGCGGTGAGGTAAAAAGGACGCAAATCGCTACAAAACCATACTACGAGATAATAGTTAATCTTTTAAAAAAATATTTTTTTTTCAATCGTTAGCGTGTGCAGAGTTAATCTTTGGGAGAATTATGTTAAAATGCCACACAAAAAAATTAAAAATTAAGAAAAAAAATATTTTAAAAGTTTTAAAAAGAAAACATGAGGTACCTTTATTTTTTACTTGAAACAATTTTAACTTAAAATGTTAAAAAAATGAAATAATTTTGCTCCACCATTAAATCTGGAGAATGTTAACCATTAAAATTAAAGTTTAACTAAATAGAAGACACGAGGTGTTAAGCTAATTTTGTCTTGAGTTCTCTCCTCCTTTCTCTCTTTGAACGGCACCTCTCCTCTGTCTTCTTCCTCCTCTTTCTGCATTTGCCAAGAGCCTATGACTGAAAATCTCCCTTCAAATCTCACTTCTTGCATCCTGGATTCGAATCAGATTGATATGCTACTTCCCCCTTCTGAATCACACAATATTTAATTCGCTGCCCAATCTACATTCACTTGCAGACCCACATCCCATCATTATAGAGGACCACCATATCTACATATAACAACCATGGACAGAATCATTAAATTTAATAACTTACAACTCATAGTTCGTCAAATAATGAATGGGATCAATTGGAGGAGCAAGTATAGAACTGGAGCTTGTCCATGGAGCCAAGGAGGGTCTCGGTGCTGATCTAAAGCATCCACAGCAAATCCTCGAACAAGATTACATTGCAAGCCACCACAAGGCCATCTCGAGCCGAAGTAGACAGGCCAACCAGCTCTTGAAACAGTGGTGGTCGACCAAGTCGGAGGAGACGAGGTAACAGTAACGGGAGCAGCCTATGTAGACAGGGTGGAAGACGCCATCCTTATTGTGGTGAGGAATAGCTACGACTTCGTGGGAAGCGGTGAGAACGCAGGAGTTGGAGTGGCTGAGCTTGGAGATAGAGAGGGCCGCCTCTTGATGATAGACTTGAGCTTGGTTAGCTTCCTAGCTATGGCCATCAAGACTTGAGAGGGAAGACGGTGAGAGTAGAGAGGGAGAGACGAAGAGGTTAGGAACTGAGGAAGAAGATCAGCCTGGCAGAGACACGTGTAAATTTTTGGGTCAACACAAATATTTAATAGTCAACATAATTATAGGTTACTTATGAGACAAAATTGTTCTCTTTCTAAAAATTTCAAGATAAAATTACTTCAATTAAAATATAAGCATACCTCGTGAACTTTTGAAAAACTTTCAGGATATTTTTTTTAATTCAAAAATTAATTATTACAAATTCATGATTTTAATTTAATTATTAATGAATTTTATAATATTAATTTTTTTTTATGTAGGACCCTTAATCTTTTCAATTAGCAAAGACTTGGGCATACTTCTCATTAGAAATGTAGGCAACTATCTCAGATCCCTATCTTTCATGAAACAACATTTAAATTTACTCTTGCTTCAAAAAAAGAGTGTTTGTATTTGGTGCTCATCACCTTTGATAGGTGATAACTCTTAATCATGTATGCTCCAATTAAAAAAGTTAGCTATAACGTAGTTTAGAGTCAATCAAGATTGAATCTCTCAAGAAGTTGATATTTTAAAATTTTAATAGCTAAAAACACAAATAAAATAGCAAGGTAAAAGTTTGTTCAAACTATCTAAAATAAAACAATAAAAGCTATTTCAATTTTTTTTTATTTTAATGAACTAAATTGAAATTAATGGAGTAAAATGAGTGTGTGAAAATGTTAGAAAAATCAATGACATGGAATTCCCTTTGATGACTTAGCTACCTAACCCTTGTTCCTAATTTTAATTTTAATTCCTTTCCAAATAATTGGGTTAAAAATATTTAAAATTTTTTAAGTTGGACACCAAGTTACTTATTATTACTAGTGGCCAATTAGCAACGATAACTAACTCAATGCTATAAAAATTACCTAATTGTTTGATTGATTAATTTGCACAACCCCTAACCTTTGATTCAACCATAACACAATCTATGTTCAATTGAGATTTTAAGTGCTAACAAATATAGATTTAATCCAACAGTCTAATTTAATATTAAAAAATTTTATAATTTTATAATTTGACTATCCAAATAAATTCTAGACAGTTCAAATATAATTTGAATGACCTAATTAATATTAAAAAATTTATAAATTTTATAAATTAACCATTTAATGTATCTAAATAATCCAGATTTAATATTAAATTTTTTTATATTTTTATATTAATAAATATAATATTAAAAGTGTTTTAAAATTAATTTAAATGAACGGAAAAGATCAATTTAGACTAAATAGAGGGTCATGATTGCTCCTAGCTTGATGAGCATCGAATGCGAATGCAAATGCAAATGGAAAAAAAAAAAGAAAAAAGGAGTTTAAGCTTGTCATTTTGAAAGTGTCGTTATCTCAACAAGCCTGAGAAAATCTATAATTATAAAAACTATTATTGCTGCCCTCCTTAGCTACACACTGCAGACAATGCTTCATCTAGATAAATTGCTTGTCGATTTGGCCAAAAAGCTCACGAAACTTCTTTTGGAACTCTTTTGACAATGCTAAAAAATCACATCTCATTTCCTTGGACATTAATACCAAAGACAAAAATGAAGCAGGCCATGGATTCAAGAATCTCAAAAGCCAAAATATTATTTTTACTATGAAGCTTTGATGGGGTATCATGACTAAATCTAATTGCTTGTGGGTTCAAATCTTACGTGACAAACCCACTATACTTATGGTTTATAAATCTAGCTCCTCTTCTTATACTCGGTTTAGCATAAGCAAAGTTTGGAATAAATCCATGGCTCATCTTGGGTGGAAGGTCAATAAGGGCAATTGGATATCCTTTTTGGTACAATAGGTGGACTCCTATTCAAGCCCTTTTCAAATACGCTTCTCCTAGCATCAAGTCTATCCTCCACGCCACTATCTCTAATTTTCATTCTAGCATAGGAAGATGGAATGTTGATAAGATTGGTCATTACCTTCACTAGTATGTGATTAAATCAATCTTACTTGTCAAACCACCCAATTCACATGGTAACGAAGACATTTTTTGTTAGAGGCCATTTTCGTATGATAATTTTTTTATCAAATTCACTTATAAAACAATTGCCAATCATCAAGGCAAAAGCAAATATGATTTTTGGTCTGCTATTTGAAAATGGCCTACATATGAAAAAAAAATCAAATCTTTCCTATGAAGAATCGCTTAGGATCGGCTTTAATCTAAATTTGTTACCATGAGGGGTGCAAGCCCTTGTAAAAGAATTTTCTCCCTTAGAGCTGCAATTCTTTTGACTCTTTAATTCATATCCTGTATGATTGTATGAAATTCAAGGAGTATGGTTGCAACATGTCAAAAATTATAAAATTAATCTTTCATTGTAGGACTGGTTTTTTAGAATGCAAAAAATAATTCGAGAAAACCCAATACTAGAAGAACCTTATAGTAGAGACTTTTTGCTCATGTATGTTGGAATATCTAGAAGTAGGATGCAAATTCATCTATTTAAAAGAAGACCATTTTGCCAAAGACATTTCTTTCGCCTACACCCAAAACATTATCAATGACCTTAATTTGCATT